CCCAGCCGCCGTCCTCCCCGTGCAGTGGGCAGGTGTGGGTGAAGTGTAACATGTCCCCCGTGGAGCTTTCCTGTCAGTCTGGCTCCTGTGCTTGATGGCCTTCAGGGTCTGTGCTGAGGCTTGTCTTCCAGGCTCCAGGGTGGACACAAGCTAATACTTCCCAGCCTCCCTGGTCTGCTAGTCTTCTGTTTGTCAACATTCTGTCCATGCATACTTGAAAGTATCTGAGTGTCCACAAGGCAGATACTTGTTTCTGTCCCACAACAACGTTCAGAGTTATAGGCTACATAACACACAAAAACACGTGTTTTTTTGCAATACTTGAAATATTGCCACTGTGCTTGGATGTACAAGAAAGCAGATCTCAAAGACCAGCCTCCTCCCTAGTCACCCATGACCTCCCTTGCATGTAACATGTTATATTTATTGCTTTGTGGCCAACTGCCACCAGGGAGGCTGGTGCAGGGGTCCTCACCCACCACTGGTTCTGAATGGCTCCTGGGTAGCCATGTATGCGTATGGCTGGCTGGCTGTGTGTGACATGAGCCAAACCTGCTCTCTAAAGCAGTGCTCAGCTCTGTCAATTTTAAGATGAATTTTGTGAGTCTCCCCTTTTTCGTTTCACTGTGTCATATCAGTTTAAAAGAATAAAATTTGGAATTATTGATGTGGTGTCAGTGTTCATCCAGGACCTGTCTTCAGGTCCATTTCTGCAGACTTCCTGTGTCTTCTAGCCAAAGTGAGGACTCTCAGGGCTTCACAGTCCTGGCTGTGTCCACTTAGCTTTGGAAGCAAACCCTACTTTGATCCAGGAATAGATAGGTGGTTTCATTGTGTAGCCCACTGAGCCAGGTAAGAATCTACAGGAGGTGGGGCAGTTCTCCAGGCTACCTGGAGAATTTCCTTTGGAAATGCATCAGGTTAAAAGCTTCACATTATGTGAGGTGCATGTTTCTTGCAAGGAGTCTTCTGAGTGCTTATAGAGTGGTGGCATGGTCTCCTTTTGAGAGACAGGACATTAATTCCTAGGATCGAATCATCTTTCATCCCCTGCCTCAGACTCAGGATTAGCTGGGACTGTGGGGTGCTCCATTACGCCTGGCTTTGCTTGCAGTCTTTTTTTTTTTCTTTTCTAAACTTAGTAGCAAGTGTGGTTCAAATCAAACCAGTTTCCCAACACTGATGAAAGTGACCATAAGTAAGGGTCTCACATAGCCCAGTCTGGCCTCAGACATGCTGTATATCTAAAGATACGTGAATGACCAATCCTGCTTTTAGGTGTTGGGGTCACACAAGTGTACCTAGTTCTCCTTTGCCTATGACACGCACACATACACACCTCTTTTTCCTCCCCCAGAAAACTAGGTTTACTCCTACTTGATCTGCCCACTGTTCTCTGCTCTGGCTTTGGGTTGCCTTTTTATTGCAAAGCACATACCTGATTGTAAGGCTTGCCTTTTTAAATCTGTATTATCTTCATAGGATAACAAACACATGCTCATGGAATCCTGTGGGAGATAGTAGACATGTATTTATATGCCCTTCTGAGACATTGTTTCAGGTAGCCATTTAACTTCAAACTCACTATGTAGGTGAGCTTGCTTTTGAACTCTTCCTGCTACAGCCTGCCCAGTGCTGGGAATGCAGTCATCTGTGACCATGCCTGGAGCAGCTGTAAGTTTACAGAGAAACACCAAGAGCCCCCATTTATCCCTCAGCTGCTGGTACCTCTTAGCATCTTTGAGGGCTCTTGGTTTCATTTGGGGTGGACTGAGCACCTCATACATGCTCAGCAAGTGTTCCATTGTTGGACTATATTCCTAGACCTTTAAATTACTTTGTGTGTACCTGTGTTTGCGTTTAGGTGCAAGCACCCACAAAGGCCAGAAGAGGGTGTTAGAGCCCTCTATGCTGAAGTTAGATGTTTTTGAGTGATCTCATGCATGCTGAGATGTGAACTCTGGTCCTTGTGATTGAGCAACAGTACTCTTAACCACTGAGCCATCTCTCTAGCCCTTTGTTTTTATTTTGAGATAGAATCTGGTGAGATTGTCCATGCTGGCCTTGAACTCTTGGTTGCCTTGTTACGGCCTTCCCGGTACTAACATGGCATCTGCACCAGGACACCCAGACTCAGCAGGGCACATGTAGGGTGATGTGCCCCACCACACAGAGCAGAGCATTGTACAACTCCTGTGCTATCTGCTCATTCTGACAGCTGTAGTCCAGGCAACCTTGAAGACCTGTGAAGAGCTGGGCAGATACAGCCAGTTCCACGTACAATGAGATGGCAGGGACCTGGGTTATGCGACAAAGCTGCCATTTAGCCATCTTTTTGACCTGTCAGGGAAAATGAATATATATCTGTTTTCCAAGCTGACAGACAGCCTTCATCCTTCAGGGTTCTGTGCTGGGTGGTGTCAAAACATGGTAGGAGCTCTGGACCTGCTGTGATGCCCTCTCCCACCCTAGGATTTCATCACAGTGTTGAACTTCCAGGTTCACAAGGCTGGGCTTCTAGATAACTGTGGGGTGGATGCCAGCATAGTCCTGGAGTGGACCAAAAACTCCTGGTAGAAACTGCCTCTGTATCCCATGAACTGAGCTCCATGTACTAGCCTCTCAACTCATTGACTCTGACTGACAGAGCTCAGAGCTATCCATGCCTCTGGCTCCTGAGTGCTGAGGTTAAAGGCATGTATCACCTAAGCTTTTCTTTACCTGAAAGTTGTTCTACAGCAGGCTAGGCTGAACTCAGATCTGTTTGCCGCAGTCTCCTGGGATTAAAGGTGTGTCTGTATTCCAGCCAGATCACATAGACCTTGAAGATCTTTGGATGTGAGCTCTTGCCAGAGCAGCCATCTTCTGAATTAAAATTTCTCTGCAACAAAGCATATATAAACCTCCTTGAACAAAGCAAGCTGATTACAGATTGGACAGGACTACATTGAAACTCTCTGTAAAGTTCATAAAGCTGGTTCTATAGATTTATTGAGAAACAGGTTTATGACTGACAGAGAAAAACAAAATTTTTATTTTGTTTTTTTGAGACAGGGTTTCCCTGTGTAGCTTTGGCTGTCCTGTCCTGGACTTGCTTTGTAGACCAGGCTGACCTTGAACCCACAGAGATCCTCCGGCCTTTGTCTCTCAAATCCTGGGATTACAGGCATGTGCCACTGAGCCAGGCTGAAAAACAAATTTATGATGAGACTCTGGAGGAGGGTCCAATGTCAGGAGAGTCTCTAGCCACACATCGCACAAAGGTCACCCAGGCTTCTGGGCAGAAAACAGGTTTTGCATTCCTTCCCTTGAAGGAACACTGTATGTTTAACATTCCAGCAGAACCTTCCAGTGCTTATCTGTGAGCACAAAGACCTCCATGCCTCCTACACCTGGGGATCTGAATGGCTGCTCCCATGTCAAAGCATGAGGCCACACCTAAACAGCAGAGACAGCAAACTGGGTGAAGAGGCACTTGGGTGCCAAGTGCAGGGAAGGACTTTCCCTGGGGCCCTTCCTCAGCACATGGAACCAGGGCAGCACAAACTATCTGGAAGTCTTCGGCACAGGTCCCCCCCTCTGCCCCAGTGGGCTCCCGCTTGAGTAGGGGAATGAAATTCTTTCCATGACCCATAAGGCCACTGACTCCTCTGGCTTTGTCTCCACCACCTTCTGTTGTGAGGCATCCCTGGGGTCTCTCTAAATTACAATCTACCTGCAGGAAGGAGCAGGTTCTGAGGTGGCTCGGCACACTACTGTCCCAGGGCCTTTGCACTGACTTCTGAGTCACCTTGATTATGTTTCCCCCCTACATACACATGTGGCTCCCTGACCCATTTTTAGCTGTGTCAACTGAGTCATGGTCTTCAGAAGTGTCCAGCCCAGTCCTCCCAGTCTCTGTGGGTGGCTTTATATATCTAATGAAGCCAAGAGTCTGAGTAGGGAAGTATCCTGGGTCAGCCAAATGGGTGTAGGGAGGAATGGCTGCAAGGACGGAAGCAGAGATTGGTGAAACCTCTCATCTCTGGAGAAGTGACAGAGGATGCATATTGAGGGTGAGAACGCTCAGGGTGAATGTGACATCCTGAAGATGGGGGATGAAGTCACACAGAAGGAACTGGGGCTTTTGCACTGTGGCTGCAAGTATCATGTTGGCTGTGTAGCAGTCTTTGGCAAAATCAGAAAAATAAGAGCATGTGAAGCCAGATGCGGTGACTCACACTTGTAATCTCAGCACTTGGGAGGCTGAGGCAGGGGGGTTGCCAGAAATTTGAGGACAGGAGTTGGGTATGGTGGTATGCACTTTTTTTAGAGGGTATTTTGTTTGTTTTTTTCCAAGACAGGGTTTCTCTGTAACAGAGTCCTTTGTCCTACACTCACTTATATAGACCAGGCTGGCCTCGAACTCAGTCTGCCTCTCCGGTGCTGGGATTAAAAAGGCAAGTGCTACCACGCCTGGCCTAGATAGTACACACCTTTAATTCCAGAGTGTGGGAGGCAGACTCCTATATAGAGAGAGTTCCAGGCCAAGTCAGAGCCGGTTTCCATGTCATTAATCACATCAATGTCTGGCAATTGGAGCAGCTTACAGAAACAACAAATGCTGGGACGCTTGATATTTCACACACCACAAAGCCAATGGTGTGTAAAATATCAAAGCCAAGAGCAGCAGTGACTTCCCAAAGCCAGGGTTGGTGCCATGGGCCAGGGAAGGGCCCACTGAGTCGGTGCTGGGGTTATCTGGACGTCAGCAGTTATTGCTGAACGTCTCCCTAGTGCATTCCTAATCTTCACATTTTAATGAGGCGGTTTCACTTTTCAAATCATAGAGGCACTGAGCCTTTGGCTTCTCTGGAGAGCTGCGTCTAGACCGGCTTGGATCCTAGCTCGGAAGCCCCACCCACTGGGTCCACCCCGCTAGGAGCGTCCCAGAAAGACTTTTTGTCCGCCTTCGGCCGCCTTCCTTCGCTTGCTCGCTTCCGCCTTCGTCCACGTGGTCGGCTTCGGGGGCCCGCGGCGCTGTGAGTGGGTCCGGCGGGACATTCCTGCCTCCGCACGCGTGCACAGTGCGCGCTCTCTGGGAAGGGGGACCAGGGGCTTCGGGGTCACAGGTCAGCGTATGATCAGGGGCCCCCTAGGGCCGGAGCCAGGAATTCAGGAAGACAGGGTAGGGGTGTCGGAGGTGCACAGTTCCCCCGGCGTCCGTGAGGTCCAGGGTCAGCGCCCGCCACCCCGCAGCGCATGGCCTTTCCCCGCCTGTGGGCCGCAGTGCTGAGAGCCTGGGGACGGTGGACGGCGTGCCCAGGACCGCGCATGCCCGGGTAAAGACCCCCGCGACTGGCCGCCTGTGCGCTGAGTCTCCACTACTGCCCTGACCTGCCCGCCTCTACTTGCTTACCCGAGTCCAGTTTCCATCCCTGCCTTGTACTGCCCTGCTAGGGCACTGCCTGCTTGTGTCCAGCTCTGCCTCAAAACTCAACCCCCGAACTGCCACTGTTGCCCAAAACCAGCCCCTGTGTCACTGATGAGCCTGAGTGGTTTGCCATTAGTCAAGGTCTTCAGAGGCCACTGAGGCAGGCGGGGCTGGGTCCTCCCATCAGGCACCGTGTTTGTACCCTTTACCACCTTGGTCACTCACACCTGTTTTTCTCAGCCTGCCCCCTATGGCTGGAAAACAGGTACCACCAGCGCTGGCTTCACACCAACAGGACTGGAAGGTCCGAGGTGGCTGGGTCTGGGAGGAGACGGAGCATCCTTCCAAGAGGGTCAAGGGCGATGAGGATGAAGAGCGACCACGCAAGCTGCCAAAGCGCAAAATTGTCCTGCTCGTGGCCTATTCGGGCAAGGGCTACTACGGCATGCAGGTGAGGAGGGCTGCGTCTAGACAACACCTACCAGAGGCAGCCCTTGATTGCCTGATGCTACTCAGAGCAAGGCTGATCCCAGGAAACGGCAGAAACAGTCCCCCAGATGAGAGATTTGGGTGGTTTTCTTCCACTACGGTTCAGACAGCTCTGGGTGATTCCCATGTGATCTTGAGAGCAGTGAGTTTTCATCATTAGGATGGCACCTGCAGGGTTCCTACTGAACTGTGTGGACAGGTTTACCGATGCTGAGAGTGCGGACAGAGAGCCGGTAGGTGCTACCCGTCTAGCATCCCGAGGGGCAGCTGAAGAGCGTTAGGTGCTCTGGGCAAGCTGCCACCTAGGCTCTGTCCCTAATCCTCCAACTTGACTCTTATGGAAGGGGCCCTGACCAGCGTGGGTAGAATCTTTTTCCTTCCCGTCATCTTTGCTATTAACATTGCTTTCATTTATAATTTTTCTTCGAAAACAAATGTTAACCTCTATTTTTATTTTGTGTTTATGAGTGCTTTGCCTGCATGCATGTCTGTGCACCATGTGCCTGCAGTACCCCAGAGGCCAGAAGAGGGCGTAGGCTCCTCTGGACTGGCGTAGCAGGCAGTTGTGAGCTGCCGTTTGGGTGCTGAACGTCAAACCCCGTCATCAAGAAGAGCGGCCAGTGCTTTTAAACACTGAGCCATCTCTCTGGTCCCCTTTCCTACTTTTTAGATCGTAATCTTGACCCACAGGATGGAGTTCATTGCTGTGATGTGTCCAAACTAAATGGCTCCAAAAAATAATGTCTGACCAGGCATGATACTGATTTTGAGAAAGAATGAATGATAGCAGTGATACAAGTTAGGGTCTTAAAAAAAAAAAAAATCACTGGAATGGTGGCACGTAGCTTGCCATCCTGGCATTTGGGTGGTTAATGGAGGAGGATGCAAGTTCAAAGATTGTCCGAGCTACATTCAGACCTTTTCCCTCTCCAGAAAAAAAAAAAAAAGCTTCACCAGTGAAGCTCATTTTGTGAGGGTGGATAGGTAGTGGTGGCTTCAGGCTAGAAATTGATGCCTTTAAGCAGGGGCACACGCCTCTAATTCTAGCACTCAGGGAGGAGGCAGAGGCAGGCAGATCTCTGAGTTCAAGGCCAGCCTGCTCTACAAAGCATTTTCGGACAGACAGGACTACACAGAGAAACCCTGTCTCAAGAAACAAAAACAAACAAACAAAGAAAGACGATGCTCTTAATTTGACACAGCTATGACATTGGTGACAGCACACAGTTCCCTGCTTCTGGGCTGACTGTTCTGCGTTTTGGAGGGCAGTTCTGATTATGGAAGAATTCTGTGTTTTCCCACTAAGGTCCTGTTTGCCTCAGTTTCCCCAGTAGGGAAATGGCAAAAGTGCCTGGCTCACAGTGCTGAGTGAGTACTATGGTCACTTTGTTACAATCTTTATGTCATTTGGGGAACGTTCCTGACTTCATGGTGAGTTTTGGGGTAGACTTCCTGGCCGAGGGAAACAAGCAGTAGAAGAGACTTCTAAAAAGACTTTCTCACCCCGGGGAGCTTGGTGGAGGTGTTCACCGGCCTGCTTCTCGTGGGAAGATTTTCTCTGAGAGCTGTGGATCTGGTGTCTGTTAAGGATTGGTTGGATGTGTTTGTGTCTGAACTTGTAGAGTCACAAACACCATGGACTCATGGTTAGGGTAGGCTGAGAGGTGCAGCATTGGAGCTGGTTGCAGAAGTGATGGTCGACTTCCTGGCAGGCATACATCCCAAACGGGAAAACAGGATATCTATTTTTTTCCCCCTTTAGAGGAATCTGGGGTCTTCTCAGTTCAGGACCATCGAAGACGACTTAGTATCTGCCCTAGTCCAGGCAGGTTGTATCCCTGAAAACCATGGCACAGATATGAAGAAGATGTCCTTCCAGCGATGTTCTCGCACAGACAAGGTATGTGTCGCACTTGCCTGCAGCTTTCACTGTCCCATGGTCTCGGGGTCCACTTGTCACAAGGGATCCCAGCCAGGGGTCATGCCTGTTGAGTCATGGTAGCAGTTCTGATATAGTGACATGGTCTGTGTTCTGTTTTACTTAGGGGGAAAAAAAAGCATAGGTTGTGTGAGTTGGTGATACTTGTCTGTCACACCAGTGTTTGAGGGAAAGAGCACATTTTGTTGTTCGGAGGGCCAGGAGTGCAGAGTGCTAAGCTTCTGCTTGATCCCAGGTGGGCTGTACATGACCCTGTCATCATGGGCCTTTGCTTTCCTTGGACAGCTCTGTCCCAGGCCAAAGGCAGCATGTGCCACTTTGCCTTACTGCCCGCCGCACACAGTAGACCCCAACAAAGTTATATAATTATGAGGGTGACTGTACTTGTTTTGTTTAGGTGACAGATTTTTTTCCCCTTAATTTTGGTTTTGACTTTTTTTTTTTTAATCTGAGGAAACAGAAGAGATGATTTATTGGATTGGAGAGAGGATTCATCGGTTAAGAACATTTACTACTACAGGGCTGGAGGGACGCCTTAGTGGTTAAGAGCACTGTCTGCTCTTCCATGTGGGTTCAATTCCCAGCACCCACATAGCAGCTCACAACTGCTGTATTGCCAGTTCCAAGGGATCTGACACCTTCACACTAATGCACAGAAAATTAAAAAAAAAAAAAAAAGAAAGAAAGAAAGAAACATTTACTATGGGGCTGGAGAGATGGCTCAAAGGTTAAGAATACTCTTCAGAGGTCCCGAGTTCAATTCCCAGCAACTACATGGTGTCTCACAACCATCTGCAATACAATCTGATGCCCTCTTCTGGTATGCATGAAAACAGCATACTCATATATATAAAACAAATTTTAAAAAGAAAAAAGAAAAGAAAAGGGGCTGGAGGGTTAGCTTAGTGGTTAAGAGCATTTGCTGCTCTTAGGATCCAGGTTCAACTCCCAGGACCCACATGGTGACTCTGTGGACTCTGTAACTCCAGTTCCAGGGGATCTGGCACCTTCATGCATTATATATATACACTATATATATTATATATACTATATATAATAGTCTGGAATGTCACAGGTCCAGGGCAAAGACCAACAGAGGCTGTTTTGTTTCTGAGCAAGGTAGGTCTTAACAGTGATGGATGTTCTAGCTTCAGGGAAAACAGATTATGAACAGTAGCTTGCAGTGCAATGATTTGTACCAGTGTCCCTAGCCTGTGGCATTTTTCATATCTCTTCCCGTAGCCTCTGGGGACCCCCTTTTGCCCACATATTTGCTTCCTCCACTTACATACTTGTGACTTAGAGCTAGATAAGGTTAATTCTAACATTTATCTGCACAGCCAAGATGTGTTCATTGCAACATACAATCAGTATGAGCACCTACCAGTGGGGTGCTGTCTTCGCTCTCTCTGTGCGGGCACTAGAACTTAGTAATTATTGTGACTCTTGTGTGTGTGAGTATGTGCATATGTGGAAGTCAGAGGACAACTTTGAGTAGTCTTACTGTGGGTTCCAGGGTTCCAGTCATCAGACTTGCATAGCAAGTGTTATCTGTCTATCACCCACTCAGCCATTTCTCTTGCCCAGGTGAGAGGTCTTTGACAACATTGTGTACTCACATAAGCATATTGCCACGATGGCTCATTCCACAGGAGAGGCTGCACGTGACTGATGGCCTAGCTTCTGTATTCCATATCACAAGATTGAGTCCCACTGTCTCTGATTGGCATGGGTGTCCCATCCTGGACTCAATTCTGGTTGATGATGGCACTTAGGGGCACATCTTGAGAGGCACATTCCCAGGCCTGGGACATACAGAACCATGTGGCTGGGCCAGGGTAAGCAGGTCTTTATGATTGGATTGGCCTCTGAAGAAACCTATCAGGGTGATAGGGCTTAAAAGCACTTAGATTTTTTTGATAGCACAGCCAGGTATGGTGGTACAAGTGTCCCAGAAGTTGGGAGGCCGAGGCAGGACTCCAGGTTTGAAGATAGCCTAGGCTACAGGGTGCAAGGCCAGCCTTGGCTATATAGCAGAACTCTGTCTTAAAACAAACTTCTGCACATTTGGCATCCTAGCAGGGGAGGAGGGGTTATGGAAAGATTGTTACAAGTTTGAAGTCAGCTTGGTGTATATAGTGAGTTCTGGGCCAGCTAGAGTTACATAGGGAGACCCATTCCCAAAAGCACCCCCAAACAATCAAACAAATAACAAACACAGTAGAAACAATATGCTGCCTTCAGCTCAGAGGTTAAGAGCACTGTCTCCTCTTCCAGAGATCCTGAGTTCAATTCCCAGCACACCACATGGTGGCTCCCAACCATCTATAATGAGATCTTTTGCCCTCTTCTGGCATGCAGGTGTACATGCATGCAGAACTCTGTATACATAATAAATAAATAAAGCTTTTAAAAGAAGATGCTGCCTTCACTGCTTGTCTGTACTGGGGAGCCTGCACAGGGTCAGGAAGGAGTGCTGCTTTCTGAGTTGGAGTGTTGGTCCTGTCTCAGGACCAGGGTATGAAGTTTGTGCTGGAGGACAAGGCCCCTAACCCATCTGTCCTCTCTGTTTCTTTGCAGGGTGTGTCTGCAGCTGGGCAGGTAGTATCCCTAAAGGTGAGGCTAATTGATGACATTCTGGAAAAGATCAACAGCCACCTTCCATCCCACATTAGGATTCTGGGTAAGCTCTGTGCAAGTACTTGAGTGGCCTCACATGGACAGAGGCTGTGCTTGCTTGGCCATGGCCAAGCAGATGCTCAGCAGGTGGTGGGTGTGAGAATGTTCAGTGTTGCTCCCTCAGGACTGGCTAGTTGAGAGAAATTCCAGGGCCTTGGACCATACTGCTCTGATAATCTGTGGGTACTTTTCACATAAAACTTGTTTTGTGAGAGAGGGTCTTTTTGTGTAACCCTGGCTGTCCTGGAACTCACTGTGTAGACCAGGCTGGCCTTGAATTTATAGAGATCTGCTTGTTTCTGCCTCCAGAGTGCTGGGCTTAAAGCACTTGGTACTAGTCAAGGTTTCTGTCTCTGACCTATATTCCCTAACCCACTTCTTTAAAAACAAAAACAAAAACAAAACAGCCAGCTTTGTGGGATTATGGTGAGAACAGTGAGTTCTTGTTCATCTAGGGCCACAGTAAAACTCTGTCCCAAAAGATAAAATAATGTATAAATAAACAAATAAAGATGGCCTTTTAAGGTCTTATTGTCACCTCCATGCTGTTCTTGATCTTGTGGTCTTTGTGCCTCAACTCAAATACTGGACTGTGTGTGCTCCACCATGCTTCTCTAATGGAGTACAGTTTTATTTGGTTTGGTCTTTTTCTGATCTGTGAGAACAGTTTCATCCTGGAACCTCCCAGCATAAGTAAACTTTATAAATGTCATTTTTGATCACCTTGGCTGTATCTTGCCATTCATGTCCAAGAAGAATATTTAATGAATTACCTGGAAGGAACCTCTTATTTGGTGTTGGGTTTTCTTTTAAATTTGATTTGTTTTGTCTTTTTTGAAACAGAGTTTCACTTTGTAGCCTTGGCTATCCTGGAACCCATTATGTAGACCAGGCTAGCCTCCACCTCCTGAGTGCTAGGATTAAAGGCATTTGCCAGTGCAGTTTTGTTTTTGTGTTAGTTTCTGTTTTTTGAGAAGTTCAAGCATGTATATAAAGTGATCAGAATCTCCTTCCGTTCTCTCCCTTCCAGCTCTCTCCTTTCTTCTTTGCTAGCACTTTCCCTCTGACTCGGTGCCGCTTGTATGTGCACAGGTGTAGGGACAGCTCCTGGAGCATGGGCAGCCTCTCAGGGACTGCATACCTAAAGAAAATCGACTCTTTGCCCAGCAGCCATCAGTTGCCAATAGCTCCTCACCAGTTTTGCTCAGTAGTTGGCATTTTCTTCTTGAAATCTGCTGCTCTATCTGTAGAAAGACTTGGCATTGTAAGCCCTACTTACTCACTTTGATGGCTCATGACTGAAAGACTGGTCAAAAGCTGCACTGCAGATTTTTAACCTGGGCTTGGTGTGTTTGCAAACTCCACTCTCAGCAGACCCTTAGGTTTTTGTCATTTGGGTTTGTTTCATTCCAAGCATCAGCATTTTGTGGATCCTGAATTCAGAATCAGAACTGGGTGCCAATCCTGGGCAAGTGGTACCAGAATCACGCTGTCAGGATGTCCCACCTTGGAGGTTTTTTCTGCTCAATTGGGTTTCTTATATGCTGCTCCCTAGGATTGAAGAGGGTCACAGGCGGGTTCAACTCCAAGAACAAGTGTGATGCCAGGACCTACTGCTACATGCTGCCTACCTTTGCTTTTGCTCACAAAGACCGGGATGTACAGGATGAGAGCTATCGCCTGAGCGCAGAGACCCTGCAGCAGGTCAACCGGCTTCTGGCCTGCTACAAAGGCACCCATAACTTCCACAACTTCACCTCGCAGAAGGGGCCGAGAGAACCCAGTGCACGCCGCTATATTCTGGAGATGTACTGCGAGGAGCCCTTTGTACGTGAGGGCCTGGAGTTTGCTGTGATCAAGGTGAAGGGCCAGAGCTTCATGCTGCACCAGATCCGGAAGATGGTTGGCCTGGTGGTCGCCATTGTGAAGGGTTATGCCCCTGAGAGTGTGCTGGAGCGCAGCTGGGGTGAGGAGAAGGTGCATGTACCCATGGCACCTGGGCTTGGCTTGATCCTGGAGAGGGTGCACTTCGAGAAGTACAATCAGCGCTTTGGTGGTGACGGGCTGCATGAGCCCCTGGACTGGACGCAGGAGGAAGGGAAGGTGGCTGCTTTCAAGGAGCAATGCATCTACCCCACCATTGTCAGCACTGAGAGGGATGAGCGCTCCATGGCCCAGTGGCTCAGCACTCTGCCTCTCCACAACTTCAGTGACACGGAACTTGGACCAGCTGGCACAGGTGCCGAGGTAGGAGCTTGGTCTAGAGTGTCACGGTGTACACATGTGCACGTACTAGGGCTGGGCAGGCCGAGTGTAGGCAGCAAGCTGAATCCTAGAGAACTTTGGGAACCTGTGTCCCGAAGTCACACAGCCCTTGGAGGAATGGGGGTTCTGTGGTCACTGGGCTACCTCGTGCCCCATCCTGTGCCCTTGGCTGTATGCTGAGGCAGCTGTTGGCCTCTAAGCAAGGCTGGCATGGGCTGAAGCCGCTAAGCAGTCTGCTCATCTCTAGCAGCATACCCTGCCTGTGCCTGCCGTTCAGCTGCGGTCTGTTCCTGTGCGTCCAGTGGCCTTCCCTCTATTCGGGTAGCTTTGCTCCTATAGTTTTCCCCTATGCCCCCACGCATGGGAGTGCCTCCAAGTTGGGTCTCACAGTCCTGTTCCTGTCTGTCCCTTTCCTGCAGGTGCCCAGTTCCTTGGAGGGCAGTGAAGGAGATGGAGACACTGACTGAAACTACAGATGTTGGCACTGCTGTGAGTGCTGAGGCTGTAATGTACGCACCCGCCTGTCAGCCCGGACGGGGGCCAGGAATTCTGGGGCCAGCTTGTGGATGTAGCCTGGCTTCTTCACCTCAGGGTATTAAATTCTTATCCCAGGAATCAGCTGCCTCTTTTTAGCCCACGCACTGTGTGAATACACCTTAGCATGAAAGGACACTTTTCTAAAAAAAAAAAAAAAAAAATTAAATATGTTTGGCTTAGTGAATTATTCTTTTCCTATTTTCCTGTTTTGGTTTTGAGATGAGTGGAACACTGCTGTTTTAGGGATAGCTGAAGGGCACAAAGGGTCAGCTCAGGAGTGTGGTTGTCAGGGCAGGCAGCAGATGTAGATGCGTGCAGTGCTGTGTCCTAGTGGTTATGTTCCCGACTGCTACTGGTAGCTGCTGTTTTTAACAAAATTTCAAACATTGGATTTTTACCAATAAAGACTTAGCAGCCAGATGCTGGGAAGAAAGCCTGCTAGCTCAGAGAGGCAGAGAGAGCAACTATCTGACCTTCATTCTCAGCCGAAGTTCCCCCAAAAAGGAATGCTCCTTCCCTACACCATCTCAAAAAACCCTCAAACTGAATGCCCTTCCCTTCTACTTCCTGTGTCCATCCTCCTGACTTCAACATTATTTATTTATTTTTCTGTCTTCACTCCATGTGAACTGGTTGCTTGCTCTGCCTCTTGACCTATGGTTGACTTTGTTTAATCCTGTTTACAATATTCAAGCAGAAAGCTCTTGGTGTGCTAAGGCTGGGCCACACCACTAGAAATAGGCTTTTTTTTTTACAGTAAGCAACACAATCTTGGGATTTACAGTGTGATCAAATGTCCTGCAACATTCCCCCCACCCCTTTTGTCTAAATAAAAAGAGAAGATTTTAACTCTAACACAGTAAAACTATTTACAATAAGCTGTTTCTCCCAAGCTTTCCACAATGTCCAGCTTGGTTCTATTTGGCAATTTTAGGATTAAGTACTTTTTAGTTCAAAATTCTGTAAAATGTTTGTGTCAGTCTATGATTCAGCAGTTTGAATGTCTTGAGCAGTTTGTAGTCCAAAGCTAGTCTTTGGGTGGTGTTTATCAGCTTAGTGGCAATCCTGGCTAGGTAGGACATAGCAGTCAACCCAAAGGTGTTCACTGTGCACAACCTGGCGGCAGAAGAGGCATGGGGCAGTTTTTTTCCAATTGGTTAGTTACCAAAATCCAGGTGGATTCATCATTGCAGGCCCCGTCATCTTCTTGAAGACCTCAGAGGTTACTGTTAGGAAAGGTGATGTTTTTCTTTGTAGGAAATTTTTTTGCTTTTTCAAGACAGGGTTTCTTTGTTATATAGAGCCCTGGCTGTCCTGGACCCACTTTGTAGATTAGGCTGGCCTCAAGACTCAGGGAGATCCACCTATCTCTGCCTCCCGAGTGCTGGGATTAAAGGAGTACACCACCATACCTGGCTGTAGGAAACTTTATTATTTTTTATTCTTTAAAAGACTTATTTATTATTTATACAGTTTTCTGTCTGCATGTACACTTGCATGCCAGAAGAGAGCACCACGTCTCATTATAGATGGTTGTGAGTCACCCTGTGGTTTCTTGGAATTGAACTCAAGAACTCTGGAAGAGCAGCTGGTGCTCTTAACCTTAGAGCCATCTCTCCAGCCCTGTAAGAAACTTTAAATGCCACATTCAGCAGATCTCTGAAAGGTTCGAGGACCACAGTCTATTACATCTGAGCTTGCTTCAGATTCAAACCTGAAAACATACAGGAAGCTGGGTGAATCTTATTTCTAGAATAGTCTGACGATATAAATAATAATCTTAGATTTTGAGATAACATTTATACCTTAAGAAAACCTTTAGAGAGTCAAATGAAAACCAAAAGATTATGAGATTAGTGGCAATAAAATAGTCTCTTATTTGTTTTCTTCTGTCCCATACCAGGTAGCTCTTTTGATATCAGACAGAGGTTTTGGATTTTCCTTTAACAGGCATGCGTGGGTTTAGAGAAGGAGAAAGCCACACTCCAAAGCCAGCTTTAAGTGTTAATTGGATTTGGATGACATAAAGACTGTTTTGCCCTTATGTCTGTAGAGGGCAGCAATACCATTGGCCAATTTACTCTTTTTCTTGGGACATTTTCCCTGATGATCCGTTCTTCTTTAGATGTCTCACTTGTCCAGGGGTCTCCAGATTCCTTAGTTGGATGTTTTTATTCTGGAAAGATAAAAGCAAAAATCCTGTTCCAGTCCTAATTTTGGGGGATTCCTTTTTTGGTAGGTTATATCTCTCCCAGGGCAAAATGGTTTTTGGCAACAGAAAAGTATTATTTTTCAATTGAAATAAAAAAAAATTTCTTTTGAACTTTTGAAACTAAATATACCTTACTATGTGTAAATAAATATACCTATATCCCACTTTCTCTTAAATATAAATTAAAGGTTTAAGTGTATTTATTTTTAGATCATAAAGGATATTCACTTTGATTTTCAGCCTGACTTTTGCAAGCAGCTTTTAAATTTAAATTACTGTAGCTGGGCATGGTGGTGCATGCCTTAAATCCCAGCACTAGGGAGTCAGAGACAGTAGATGGATCACTGTGAGTTCGAGGCCACCCTGGTCTACAAATCAAGCCCAGGACAGCCAGGGCTACACAGGGAAGCCCTGTCTAAATTGCTGTAAAACTAAGTTACTGTAATTTTGTTTGTTTCTGTTTTTCAAGACAGGATTTCTCTGTGTAGCTTTGGCTGTCTTGAAACTCACTCTGTAGTCTAGGCTGGCCTTCAACTCACAGGGATCCTCCTGCCTCTGCCTCCTGAGTGCTAGGATTAAAGGGGAGTGCCACCACTGCCTGCTCAGTTTTTCTTTTCTTTTCTTTTTTTTTTTCACATTCATTTATTTTGTGTGTGTGGAAGAAGACTTGAGAACATGCTCATGTGGAGGTCAGAGGAAAACCTACAAGTTGGTTCTGTCTACCTTGTGGCTCCCAGTATTGAATTCAGGTTGTCGAATTTGGCAGCAAGTGCCTTTATCCATGGAGCCATCCCACCAACCCCCTCAATTTCTCTCATATCTTATTTTACTTCATTTTTGCTGTTAGAGGTAGTTTTGGAGCCGGGTCTTATGAAGCTCAGACTATGCTGGAGCTCATCACAAAGCAAAAGATAATCATGAGCTTCTGATTCCCCTGCCTCCATCCTGCAAGTGCTGGGTTTATTAGCATGGGCATTCAGTTTGCCTCAGGTGATCTTGCCTGGCTGTGTGGTCATGTTGGAACGCGTGATATTTACAACCACTGTCATTTGGGGGGTACTGGTATGTTGGTCTGTTGGAGGTACCCTGCTGGTTGAGGTTGCAGTTCTTGCCTGGACCGGATAGCTATTATGAGCTTGGCGCTAAAAGCAGAACTCCTTCCCTTCTGTGGGGTCCCTGCTCTCTGCCTTACTTCATCTGGAAAGTGTCTTTAGAGACTCCCCTAGCCACACTTGATGTATGACCTCTGACACAGCTCCCTGCTAGCTCTCCTTCTGCGCCCATATGTTAATTAAACCCTGACATTCTACTCTTATGATAGGAGCGTGCTGTATAATGTATATAAGCATCCTTTGTAGTGCCTAGTTCAAACCAACTGCTTACACCTATTCTTGGGGGCCTCCATAGGGATATGTAGCCCTTGTTCTCTGGGATTAAAGTTGAACTAGCCATCAGCTGTTCCTTGGGTGTACGATCCCTGCCCTGTTCTCACTGGCCATTCCAGGCAGCTTCTCATCTCCTGCCCCTCCTGACTTAGTGGGCTGCTGGGAGGCAGCCCCCAGGCTGGAGGAGAACCTAACTGGACTGTATGCCTATTTTGAGCCCAGTTACCTGAGGAGCAACAAGGGCATGTTGGCCCACATGCCAGTGCATAGGCTATTTATGTGTGTGCATGTGTGCATCTGTCTGCGTGTATGTATGTGTATGTGCATGTGTGTGCGCATGTTGGCCCACATGCCATTTCCAAGCACAGTCATGTTAGGAAGTGTATGACTAATGTTAGCCTACATGGGGGGACAGTATGGGCATGTTTGAGCTCGTGATGTTTATAACTCAGTCATTTGGACGAGTAGATGGACAATTTTGTTCACATGCCATTTTTGAGCCCAATCACATAAGGAGGTCTGTGATCATGTGTGCATACATGCCTTATCCCAGCCTGGCAAATTACTGTGATTCTTATGTGCCTGCTTTTGGGATTAAAGGTGCGAACCACCGCCTGACTATGAATTCCTTTTAATAATTATTATCATAGGGTTGTCCTGGTTTAATTTGGTTCTCCATTTCCCCTTACTTTTAGTGCTGGGGTAAACTTTCAAGTTTTTCGAATGTATAATCTGTTATTCTTGCTGACTTATTCTGAAGTTGTACCCTGGCAAATATTAATATTCTAGTCTTAATCAAACATGATGCCAGTTTGTCCACTGTTTCATTATTTTCAGATTTTTTTTCTGTCTTGCCCATATGAGCTACTTAAAATTTGATGCTTTTGTTAAGTTTTGCCATTTCCATTCATGCCTCCCATGACCAGATATCTTTGCCATTTATCTGCCAGTTAGCGATTTTCCATTTTCATGACCATATAGATATACCATTGCACACTCACCATGAATTGGCAAAGATAGAGTGTTTTGCTTTCCTAGTTGTTTGTCTTATAGTCAACAGTGCTGCACTGATTTTGTGGGTCCTTCCTCAGTATTGGCCATTCCATCTCCCTGTCTATAGGCTGCCATTTTCCATTAGCTTTGGTTCCATCAGCGGTTGATGAACCATCAATGAGCCATGCATTAGTGAGTCCAGGACAGCCAAGGCTACAGAGAAACACTGTCTTGAGAAAAACAACAACAATAAAAAAACAAAGCCATGCATTAGCTACACCATGTATTAGCCAAATGTTGTGACTATTCCATTGGTCCCCAGAGGTCAATAGGTACGTCTTTTGGGGGAGGGGTGGGCGGTTTAGGGATGGAGATTATAGGCAACAGAACTATTTCTGCAGGAAGGCATAGTGAGTTGTTCCATTCAATCAATGTCAGGGGCGCCTTTATGACCATAGTGTGGCTGGCAATGACTTAGTATAAGGATCGCCATGCCTTCTTAAATGTCCTGATTTGCTTTTCAAAGAAAAAATATTCATTCTTCATATATGGAAAATGTTTACAATAAAAGAGAACAGGCAAATGTTGGTGGACTCCTTTTTGCTTCATGAAGTCTCCAGTTGTCAATTCACCAATAAATATGGTATCTGTAATTAGGGTATCATCTGACTCAATACTGGTCCGGGTTGCATGCATGGAGCTAAGCTAACTGGCATCACAAAAGCTGCTCTCTGTTCCTTTCCTCGTTGGAAATTAGCTGCCTTCCTAGTAGCCCTGTAGAGGGTTATCATCATCTGTAAATATAGTATGTGATTTCTCTAGTGTGCAAACATACTAGTTAGGAGCTGTATCTGAGTTTTGCCCCTGGGTGGTGGGATCAAAGGCCTGTGCCACTACCACCTGGTTTACTGTAACTCTAGACTTTAGAAAACAACTAATTTAGCCAGATGCCATGGAAAACAACTAATTTATAGAGATCTGCTTGTCTCTGCTGGGATTAATGGAGTGGTTACCCCTGCCCTGCTCAAATATTTTATCTTAGCTCCAAATCACTCCAACTCTTAGAGATTTAGAAAACAAGTCTGAACTGTAGTAACCCTTTGAATTTACTTAAAACTTCTGAGACAGGGTTTCTTGGTGTAGTCTTGGCTGTCCTGGACTCACTTTGTAGATTAGGCTGGCTTCAAACTCACAGAGATCTACCTCCCTGAGTGCTAGGATTAAAGATGTGCACCACCACACCTGGCTCCAAATGTTTTTAACAAAACCTCAAATGTTCGATTTTACCAATAAAGACTTGGGAGTCAGATGCTGGGGTGAAAGCCTACTAGCTCAGAGAGTAGAGAAATCACCCAGGGGACTTTCCTTCTCAGCCAGTGTCAGCCAAAGGCATGCTCCTTCCCCATGCTTCTCAAAAACCCCTCAATCTGAATGTCCCTTCTACTTCCTGTGCTTCTTTCTATCCATCTTTCTCCTGACTCTCTTACTGTTTCATTTTTTCTTCTTATTCCTTTGGTTGTTCAAGACAAGGTTTCTCTGTGTATACTTGGCTGTCCTGGACTCACTTTGTAGACCAGGCTGGCCTCAACCTCACAAGAGATCCACCTGCCTCTGCCTCCCAGAGTGCTGGGATCACAGGTGTGTGCCAACGTGCCTGGCTTTTTGTTTTGTGTTCTATGTTCATTTCCTGTCATCTGGTTGCTTGCTCTGCCTCCTGATATATGGTTGACTTTATATAAACCTGTTTACAGTATTCAAGCAGAAAGCTCTTGGAGTAAAGGTTTGTGCTAGAGCTGAGTCACACTGTAACAAAAAGTTTTTTTTTTTCCAGTAAATTAAACAATCTTGGGGTTCATAGTGTGATCAATTATCTTGCAACAGGTACCTTCTTTCTTCTGGCCTGTCCTTTGAGTCCATTCCAGTTTTCTTTTATGTGGCTACATTGGTAATGTGTGCTCTTGGCTGTGATTGATTTCTTGTTACCTGTTCTTGGAGAGACCTCAAGTGGGACTGTGCTACATCAGCCTCCACTTTCATGCCCTGGTGTTCCTCACCTCCTTCTGTGTCTCCTTTCTCACACTGCATGACTGTTTATGTCCCTCAACAGTTGGTGGCTCCCACTTAGCCCTCCTCACTGCTACTACTTCCGCACTAGACTTGTAATGACCCCTCCAGCTCAGTATAATTCTCCATCTCTCTTACCTTTTATGGGTGAGGCAGTCTCAAATTCTAGTACATTCAGTGTTACAGGGCCCTTCAACCTGTGCAGATGTCTTCTTCATTCTACAGCCTGCATTTTTGGCTTGTCTGGAATGGCAAGCAAGCTGTTTTAGAAAAGTAACAGCTCCCTAAAGCAGAGAGGGGTTGGGTCCCCAAAATGGTTAGCCTTTATTATTTTTTGATAAAAACTTTAGGGGCTGGAGAGATGAGATGGCTCAACTGTTAAAAGCATTTGTTCTTGCATGGGACCTGGGTTTGATTTCCAACATCCACAACTCTCTGTAACTCCAGTTCCAGAGGATCCAGCAGGCTGCATGCAGGCAGGTAAGATTCTTATACACAACTAAAATAAATGAATCTAAAAAAATTAAAAATTTATTTTAGTGGTTGGTGAGATGGCTCAGCAGTTACAAGCTCCTGCCATTCTTACAGAGGACCCAAGTTCAGTTCCTAACAGGCATGTCAAGCAGCTATGTCTGCCTATAACGCTAGCTTCAGAGGATTCAGCCCCCTCTTCTGACCTCTGAGAGCACTGCATTTATGTATACACACCCACACATAAGGCACACGTGCACACACCTAATTAAAACATAAAATCTTAAAAAAAAAGATTGTGTGTGTATGTTTGTGTGTGGGTACATGTAAGCTCCCTGATGTGGGTGCTAGGAACCTAATTCTGGTCTTCTGCAATAGCAGTAGTGCCCAGCTCCCCTTGTAATTTTTTTTTTAAATAATTTTATTATTTGTGAGTGTGGCATGTGGATGTGGATGTCTATGGAAGCCAGAAGAGAGTGTCGGATCTCCTGGACCTAGTTACAAATGGTTGTGAACTATCTGATGTGGCTGGGAACTGAATTCATGTCCTCTAGAAGAGAAGGAAATGTTCTTAATGGCTAAGTCGCTCCAACTACCCCCAGTTCCTTGTAGGTTTTTGTTTTTAATTCAATCAACAATTTTAATGTCAGATGCTTTATAGAAAGGTGCAGAGAACAGGTCAGGGTCTAAAAAACAGAAAAGACTAGGCTTCTACATATGGCTCTATCTGCACGCAATTGTGGGGTGCCCCAACTTCAGTCGCAGCAGCTGCACCTGTCTGAGGCCTCTTGGCAGATGCAGCCCTGGGAGCATTTCACACAGCCCACAGGGCAGCAGGAGCAGCAGCCACTGTGGCACAGGAGCAGCTGGGGTCCATGGCGGGTGGAGGCTGTGGCCGAAGACCAATGAAAGACTGGTGGTGCTGGAGGAGGCTTACTGGGGGGAAGAGTGTGGAGCGCTGCCTTCATAGCGCCTTGTTGTTTTTAAACGATAATTTATTATCTGACAGTTTTATAGATGCACATTTTGATTGTATCCACCTTTTCCCCTGTATCTCCGTCAGGTCCCTCGGGATCCTTCTTCCTAACACACTTCATGCCTGGTTTGTTTTGTTTTTTAAAGCATTCCATTCCATTTTGGCTTTAACTTGGGAATGACAATGGGCAAGAAAATGTGATAAAGGTAGCACGGGCTGAAAACCTTGAGAGAGGCTTCTAGTTGTGCCGGGGAAAGGGTTCCAGGGGCAACCCTGGTAGACACACAGTGCTGTTTAAGGCTCCAAACATTGGAGTCTGTGTGCCTCATGACGCCAGGCTTGTCTTCCCTGCTATCCGTTAAAGCAAATGACCAAAAGGCTCTCTTGTACTCCAGGACAGCCTCCAACACGCTCTGTGGATAAAGCTAGCCTTGAACCCCAGATTTTCCTGCTTCAGCCCCTCAAGTGCTGGCATTACAATGAAAGACCCCAGCCTCACACTAAGTTAAACATAGCTAATGCCATTTTGTGAGACACCACTGTTTTGTAAAATTCTGAAGGCCAGATGAGAAACTGGAAAATTACTGAAAAATCCTAGCTGTGTCACCCACTTGGGATATCTGTGGTCAGGCTGCCCCAGTCATACTAAAAACAGTTTGTGTTAATCACTCTCATAGATATCTGTGAGACTGTTTCAGCTAAGATAGGAAAAAACAAAATAACAGGTGGCGGGCCACGTCAAGGGGTCATCCTACCCCCCTTGACCACCCAGTTCCTGGAATCTTGGTGCCCCTGCCAAACTTTGATGCAAATTGTGGTCTCGTGTAAACGTACCAATCAGCCCCCTGTAACCATGCCCTCTCACTTCTGTACCAGTGCTACTGCCTCTAAAACCCTATAAAAACCCCAGCTTCCCATCTAGGGGGCGCGCAAGGTCCTCCTGAGTGACCTTGCTGCCCGAGTACTCGTAAATCAAAATAAAAGCCTCTTGCTGTTTGCATCCGAATGGACTCGTTGATCCTTGGGAGGGGGTCTCTCTGACGGAAGATACCCTCCGGGGATCTTTCAACAACAGTGGTTCTCAACTTTCCTAAAGCTGCGACCCTTTAATACAGTTCGCCATGTTGTGGTGACCTCCAGACATGAAAGTATTGCGTTGCTACTCTGTAACTGTAATTTTGCTACTGTTATAAATCATAATGTAAATATCTGATATGCAGGAGATCTTATATATGACCCACAGGTAGACAACCACTCGGATTACAGGCCAGGCTTTCGCCACCGGCCTCGGCTAATTTCTTTCTCTCCTTCCTTCCTTCCTTCCTTCCTTCCTTCCTTCCTTCCTTCTTCCTTCCTCTCTGTCTCTCTCTCTTCCTTCCTTCTTTCAAGTGTTTTAAAAAATACAAAACAAAAACAAAAACAAAAACCAAACAAAAAAAACCAACAAAACCGCCTTTGGAAACTGTAGTCGCCGGGTGGTGGTGGCGAACGCCTGTAATTCCAGCACTCAGGAAGCAGAGGCAGGTGGATGTCTATGAATTTGAGGCCAGCCTAGTCTACAAAGTGAGTTCAGGACAGCCAAGGCTACACAGAGAAACCCAGTCTCGAAAAACAAAACAAAAACCAAACCAAACCAAATCTGCAGTCCCACTTTGCAGTTCAGGTTGGTCTCAAACTCGCACAACAATCCTACCTCAGCTTGGTTGTGGTTTCTGTTGCATTTCTCTGATGCCTAACGATGCTGGATGTATTTTCATACTTCTGCTCACCGCGGCTCAGCCTCCTGTCTGTTAACCCCAGAGCTACTGGGGTTTTAGGCCGTGGGGCTAGTCCTCTGTTTCCTCTGGAAGACCCCGAGGTGACTACCTGAGCTTTCCGAACTATTCCTGGGCTCACTAGCTGGCGTTAAGGGAAGCATCAGGATCCGCCTCCTACGGACGAGGCCACGCCCCTCCTCGAGAGTGCCCGAACTTCCCCGAGAGCCTGGGGCTCCGTCTCGTACCTACGGAGGCCCTTGCCCGAGTGTACCCGAACTTCCCCGAGCCCTGAGTCTCCGCCTCTTAAGGACAAGGCCACGCCCCAGCTCTCGGGCACCGGCTGAGCTCACAGCCCTGCCCTGCCCTGCGTGCGCGCAGACTCGCTTCGTATCGACCGAAGCTTTCCCGCCTCGCACAGAAGAGGCCTTTCGGAGCCATCTCTCAGGTAGCCCTCAGCTCTCCAAACCCCGCCCAACGCGCCTCCTGCGTGTAGCCCCGCCCCAAACAGTAGCGTCAGCTCGCTTCAGAAGAGGCTTCTGGCCGGCCTCCGCCGTCAGGAGTATTTTAACTCAAGGCGACCCCGCGTGGCGGCGAGCGGCGCTGCACGACAGGTACCGTTAGTCCCTTGCCGCTCGCCGTAGGCTCGGCGCTGTTACTTCCTGCGCCCGTGGACCCGGATGCGCCGAGCGGCTGCGGCGCGCTCGAGCCTCCCGGTTGACCGGACGCGGCGGAGCGTGGCTCGAGGTTCAGGGTGAACCGGACGGCGACAGCGGGGTGAGAGGCGGGCTGGTAGGCCGCAGGCGGTGGTGGTGGCGTGCCGGGCGGTCGTCTTCAGCGGTGCTGCCGCCCGCGGCGCGTCGGGCCCAGGCCGCGGCGGCGCTTTGTCGTGGGCGGGCGGGGCCGAGGAGTCGGGCCGCGCGGAGAGGGGCCGGTGGCTCGGCGCGTGTCCCTGCCTCTGGAAGGCCCTTCCCTCGCCCGCACTCCCGCGTGCGGGGTTCTGGGCAGGCGCGCGGCCGGTTCGGAGCACTCGGGAAGGCGGGGCTCATAACGCCCGCGGCACCGTTGGTCGGCGGTGGGCGGCTTCCTTTCGCGGCGCAGAGCCTGGAGCTGAGGCAGAGCGGGAAGGACGCCGTGGACCTGGGAGCTCTCCGAGCCGAGGCCCCGAGGTGCACCATCAGCCGCCGAGCGGCAGTCTCCGCAGTCCGTCCCCAGGTTTAGTATTGGGGAGCACCGCGACTTCGAATTGGGGGTTGCGCTCATCTCTGGCAGGATGTTTGCGTTCTGTGTACTCTGGATTATTGCGTGAGACAAAACGGTTCTTGGTTTGGTTTGGTTTTAGAGTTTCACCATGTAGCCCTGGCTGGCCTTTTAACTCGACATTTAGACCAGGCTGGCCTTGACCGCGGTTCTTGTGCATTTTGCGAGTGTGTGTGTGTGTGTGTGTCTGTGTGTCTGTGTTTCATTTGTATACTCTGAATGGCCAGGAAAGGCAAAGTACTACATGCTAACTTAAAATTTTATGTTTACGTATTTAGGTTTTATGAGGCAAAGTCTCATGGAAGTCCGAGTCGGCCTGGATTGAGCTAAGCCAGTTTGTGCTTGTTAGCAATCCAGATGCCTCAGCCATAGTACTGGGCTTACAGGTGTGAGCCATCATGCCTAGCCGTTTTATACACTTGTTTTTGAGACGAACCTACTTTTGGGTCCTAGGCTGGCCTCTGACCTTGGCCTCAGGTTTATCTTCCTGCCTCAGTCTCTTGAGAGCTGGAAGTGCTGGTGCTTGCTTCAGTACCAAGCGGGGAGGCCCCCCCTTATTATTATTATTTTTAACACATGGTCTCACGGGCTTGGAACAGCCTGGCCTCGACCTCAAAGTGACCCACCTGCCTCTGCCACCTGAGTGCTAAGGGGTTGGAGGTGCTCCACCACACCTTGGCCCCTCTCTTCAGTGTTTTAAAAACTCAGGATGGTCTAATACCGAAGGTGCTGTTATTTTCTCTCGTCATATTCTTGTAACTTAAGAGAATGGTTGGGACTATGTAATGAAACTTTGTGTCTTAAGCTGTGTAGGTACCATGAGCACCCAACTGTACAATAGCTGCCTCATAATGTTGCTGGTACTGTTGTCCCTGTGAAGCATTTGCTGTTGCTGTGACCTCTGTTGGGTTGCTGTTTGTGGCCCACTCAAGGCCATAGCATAACATTCCTAAGTGTGGTTGTCAGTTGTTTTCTGCCACCTTTTTCACAACTGCATAGTAAGTTTCCCTTGGTTTAGTGCTCCCCTCCAGCTGACTCTTTCTGCTCTCAGCTAACTTGTATTCCTGGGTGGGAGAGAAATTTTGTGTGCTTACTGTCACTATTTCCTTTTTTTTTTTTGGTAATGGCTTTATTCAGGCTTTTCATCATCTCTTCTCCTCTGATTAGGCTCTGCTGTTTCTGAAGGCTTTGTTCTGGCTGTCCAAGACATTTGTTGTATTTAAAAGTAAATAAAAACATTTATTTATTTATTTATCCACCTATCATTTATCTATCTATCTATCTATCTATCTATCTATCTATCTATCTATCTATCTATTTATTTACGTGTGCTTTCGTGCCTGTGTCTATGTTGCTATGTGTGCCTGCAGAGCAGGATGGTGTCTGATGTCCTGGTGGTTATGAGCTACCCAGTATTGGTGCTGGGGTTCAAACTCAGATCATCTTGAAGATGAGCATGTACTCCTGCTCCCTGAATCATCTCTTCAATCCTGTTTTGCCTTGTACCACTTGGGTGTCTGCTGCCCACAAAGGCCAGAACAGGGAATCACATACCCAGGAACTTGAGTTACAGAGAATTGTAAGTCACCGTGTGGGTGGTGGGAATAGAAGCCATGTCTTCTGGAAGAGCAGCCAGTGCTCTTAACTGCTGAGCCATCTTTTCAGTCCCAGTCCACGAATTTATTGAGGTTGTTAAAAAGCAAACAAATGAAAGCATTGCCTTATTTATTTTTTTTTGGCCAGTTAGCCATAGCTGGCCTTGAACACTATGTAGACCTATCTTGACTTGAAGTTGTGATCCTCCTGCCTTGCCTTCTGAGTGCTTCCATTACAGGCATGTACCACCATACTTCGCTGAAAGCATCATTTTTAATATGTTTAATCTTTATGAATGTGTGTGGTACTAGGGATCACGTTCAGGGTCCTGTACATGCCAAGCAAGCACTTAACCATTGAGCTGTAGCCCTAACCCTTAGGCTTAAACATTTAATGTTTTTAACTCTCTTGGTTAAGGTACTTAGTTTTTGGTGTCTGCCAAATGACTTTTTTGGGTATGAAAAGAGTTCTTGAACACTGGTTCTCAGGGAATGAAGGCAGATTACGTTTATGGGAGAATTTTGAAATGTGAGGGTACTTTGTGGTGGAAGTGAAGTATTTTGTGTGGCTAGGTCTCAGTGATTGGGTAATACAAGAATGTAGTAGCTGCCATTGCTCCGCTTTTGGTGCTTGATCCCCAACTGGGCTCTGGCTCTCACTGAGTCGTCATTGTATAAGATGGAGACCAGTTAACCAATGTTGCCCATGCCAACTGCTAACTCCCAAAACTTGCTCTGAGTGGGCCAGTGGGAGTAGTGATAAAACAGTTCACTGATCAGGTGAGCCTTTCCTTTTGATTTTTCTGTGACCATTTGTCAAGAGTGCCATCTTCACCTATTCTGGCTTTCAGGATTGTGTGTGTGTGTGTGTGTGTGTGTGTGTGTCTTGTAGAGGTTGAACTAAAATTAGAATTTATCAGGGCATGGTGGCCTACACTTGGGAAGCAGAAGCAGGTGGATATCTATAAGCTTGAGGCTAGCCAGGTGCAACATAGTGAGACTGTATCTCAAAGGAAGTAAATAAAAATAAAATTAGAGTTTAAACTGAATTAAAATGGATTATTTGGGCATGTAAATGAAAATCCTAGTTATGTGATCTCATTCCAGTTAAAATGGCAGTAGTTGGAGAGAATATAAATTAATACTGCCAAAATGGAAACCCCCAAAACTAAAAAAATGGAATTACTTATGACCCAGCAGTTTCATTCCTAGGTATATATGCAAGGGAAATGCAGTCAGCATACAGAAGAGACACCTGCGCAACCATGTTTCTTTCAGCACTGTTTGTAACAGCCAAGATACAGAGTCAGCCCAGGTGCCTATTTGGGAATAAGTGGGAAAGAGTGTGATGTCTATGCACACACACACACAGTGGAGGATTCAGTTACAAAGAGAATGAAGTTGAGTCATTAACCACAGATTGGGTGGGATTAGAGACAGTATGTAAAGTGAAATAAGCCATTACACAGTACACTAGTTGTTTTTGTGGTTACTGTGAGGAAATATCAGAATTAATGAGAGAATTTGATCTTGATTCACAGTTTAGGAAATATGTTCATGGATGACTGGAAGGACTTGGTTTGTGGTGGTTGGAGCACATGGGGTACGTTGTTTAAATCTCAGTGGGTCAAGTAGCAGAAAACTTGGGCTGTAATTAGAAAGTGGAGATACTAAGTTCAAGATCCACTAGCAGTCTAGGTAATGTCTCCTGAAGATTGCAAAACCTCCTAAAGTAGTGCCACCAGCTGGAGACCAAATGTTCATCAAATACATGGGTGGGGAAGACACTAATTTTTTTTATTTTTTAAAAGATTTGTTTTATATGCATTGCTCTTTTGCCTGCATGTATATGAAGGTGCCAGATCCCCTGGAATTGGAGCTACAGATAGTTGTCAGCTGCCATGTGGGTGCTGAGATTTGAACCTAGGTCTTCTGGAAGAACAGTCATTACTCTTTAACCACTGAGCTATCTGTTCAGCCCCAAGACATTTTAATATTCAAACCATAACATTCTGCCATTGGCCCCATAGACTTAGGACATTTCATAATACAGGATATATTCATTCACTCCAACTGTATAAATCCCCATGATATTAACCATCCCAGTAGTGTTTAAAAGTTCAGAGTGTTTTGAGACATAAGGCAAAATCATAGCTGTGAACCCTTGCTAAAACAAACAAAAATGTTAAATACTTCCAATATAAAATGGAGGAATAGGAAGATACCTAAGAAAGACCAGACTAAAGAAGACTGAAGCCCAGCTGGGCAAATAACAAACCTGTGGCTTCACCTCAAGCATCTGGGCTTGTGGTACCATGTGGGCTTCAACAGCCTTGGTCAGCCTTACAGCA